ACAAGTTCGCTAGTATATTAGCTCCTGTTCACAAACGGGCCTCACTCTTGTGAGACCTTCTTGGAAAGCCGCACGAAACTGCGAAAAGGTACAACTGGGCCTCAGGATATCTATCAACCTATCAGCTTTCCCTCCTTCCTTTCCTCCTCCCTTCTCTCTCTCTTCGTCTCATCTTTCCTCTTTCAAGGCTCTACAAGTCGGTCAGAAGATGCGATGAGAAAATACCTCTGGACCCTTGCAACGAGTGAATATCCGGTTGAAAGAAGCGCTATCATCGGTCTATGGGAGCAACTTCAATTACATGATTCTAATGGTCTTCACAGGATGGCCTGTACGGGCTCACATTTGGCGCCCCCACCAAGCCGAACTGCGTTCAACACTACTAGAAGAGAAGAACGAGAAGTATTATCCATGTACTGATGCATCTGATGAGAACATTCGCATGTTACACAAAGTAATAGTAAAATTTATCAAACACTCTGCATAAAAATCAAGAATTGGAAACATAAACACAGAATTCGTAACCTGAATTCCCCATACCGGCATAACATCAGAGAAAAACATGATTGCCGGTTAATTTCAACAGTAAGCCACCTTAACAAAACACTCACAGCTACCAGTGAGGTATGCCAGTGAAATCATAGAAATCTGCATATACAGCGGGAATTATTAAAACTTATTCAATACATTTCCGTAACTACACTACACTGTGGAGCAAGTTCGAGGCAAGAAGTTAACTTGAATACTGCTAGTACTACCAGTTTTGTCAATTCTACCACATTTCATCGTATCATGAGGAAGTTTACAAATCAAACTAGGCATAAACCTAAGAGGTCAAGGCTAGACTAGCCTTAACTTACCAACGAGAACAATATTGTAGCTTGTATATACGTCGCGGTGCGTTCATACTTCGCTGTTTGTTCGCTCCGATCGCGCTTTGGTCGCTTGTTCGGTTTGAATTGAGGACGCTAACATAGTTCAAGTAGGGGGGAGGGGAAGGAGTGCGTGATTGAAGCTGTCTATCGATAACTCTTATTCGCTCTGATCGGCGACTTAAATTCTTCCGTGGCGAAGTATGAACGCTGCCCTACTGTTGCTGAGTGAATGACCCGGAGAACCGAGTCCAGAGTTAGCCAAATGTTACTAAGACATTATTGACAATGTTTCGAAAAAAAAATCACTATTGCATACTGTCTCTAAACGAAAATATCACCGGATCTGTTAGTTTTGAAGATAAGGCATACCATTGGAAACACATTCTGTACCCTTCAACTCATCGTTTGACTCTTTGGAAAGACGCCGAAACGTTCATGCTTGGAACAGCTTTGCACGGCGTGCAGCTTCCTCTTCAGCCTCTCGCTTTAGCTTTGCCTCCAGCTCGGCAGGATCAGTTGTGCGTGGTTTCAGGACCAAACGCGGGCGTTCCGGATGTTCCACTAAAGATGACATAAATAAGTGCAGCATAACTGCGAACTGCTTAGCAAGAAAGGTCAGTGTACAGCCCGGCTATTTACGAGGTGCACGCCGGTGAAAATGCGTTCATACTTTGCGTCAACATTTTTGGCGACTTGTGAAGTATAGCTATCGATTCAGCGCCGCAGGCGGACGCAAAACTCGAAACGCTTACTCGAAGTATGGATGCTTTCTTGACGCGCCTCGCGGCGCTGAGCTCAAATCTGCTTTCAGAATTTATGGCACGATTCTCCAAAGGAATTTACGAAGTTTTTCTGGTATGGCATCTTTCACTTCTCTTCTTCGGCGAAGAGGGAGGGCACTTCGCACTTTCGCTGCTTCCCATTGTCGTAATCACAGCTTCGCAAGAGTTGAAGGCATGCTTTACAAGAGTTGGCTAGTAGCTTCTAAAACTCTGACCGGTACCACTTTATGGCTTCACAAAATTTCACAGTTCTGTTCTAGATGACTCGTCACGACAATGGGAAGCAGACGAATCGCAGTGCCATCCCTCTTCGCCCGAAGAAGAGAAGCGAAAAATGCCATACCAGAAAAACTTCGTAAATTCCTTTGGAGAATCGTGCCATAAATTCTGAAAGCAGATTTGAGCTCATCTAATTGGTCCGCATACACCAATAAGGGTATACACCTCAGTGCAAATGGCCAGAATGACGTGCTACCTTTCCTGGTAGCATGACTGTGATGATG